CTCCTGATTCCTGGGACCATGCTCCCACTCCCCGCGCCCCCTCTGACTGTGGAGTGGAGGCCGGATGGAAGTGGCGTTGGTTTACTTTTCATCTATCACTGTGCTGAAAATAGCACAGGGAGTGAGATAACCCATTGGTGCCCCCCAGGGGAGAAAGTAGCTTGTGTGATAGGAGAGTCCCTCAAGGTCACGCTTGCAGACAGGGACTAGAGTGGCCTCACTTCAGTGACTCATCTTCTGTCTGAAGGTGCTCATTCTGAACTGAAGGCTGGAGTAGCTACTGCTTAGAACCATCACTGGACCAGGAGGAAATGCCTGAGCTCCCTGGATGGGAGTCCTTAGGGTTAAGTCCTCAGGAGTTGAGATGTTTAAGGAAGTAGTGGGTGGAGGGCAGGGAGGCAGGAAGCCTACTGGGTAGGGAGCGTAGAGTCTCTAGCGGTGCTGGCGAGCCTGTGGCACATGTGCCTAAGCCAGCTGTCCACATTAAACCTCCAACACGCTCGCCATCCCTGCTCTACGGAGTCAGGCCCAGGTTTCAGTACTGCATCTGCCACTTCTAAGACGTTGGATGACTTTGGACAGGTCACTTAGTTTCTCTTGAGTCTTTTTCTTAAATGGATGTAATAGAGAAACACGGTTTCTCAGTAATACTAAAATATAATATACAATGTAATATAAATAAATTATAGCATCACTGTATATTTGGTGTTGAGCTCATATGTAACATTTGCGAGTCCTAACACCCTTAGAGCTACACCTTTTAAATAGTCCATGCTGCTCCCCTCAAAGTGGAAATTTCCAAGTTATAGATGACAGAAGCAAGTATAATTAAGAAAAAATACAAATCTGAAAGCCTTAGTCACATTTTAAAAGGATGCTTGTCAGTGTTTTTTTTTTTTTTTTTGTACCAGGGATCGAACTCGGGTTCTTGTGCTTGCACAGCAGGCGGCAAAACCACTGAGCTAAATCCCTGGCCCTGCTTGTCAGTTTAATCAAAATCAGAAACAAGGAATTAATGTAACTTCTAAAATACTAGCTTTGGGGGAAATGGCATCAAGAAACCTATTACAACTGCGTGAATTGTCAGGAAGGCCAGAGGCTGGGTAACACATTTCAGCTCCTCCTCTCCTTTCTTTCTTCCTTTTATGCCACTGAGAATTGAGCTCTGGCCTTCTGCAGGCTAGACAAGCACTCTACCACTGAGCTACATGAGCGATGTCCCCAGCCAGCCCTTTTAAATTGTTTTTCTGTATTTTTTTTTTTTTGGTATGGGGATCGAACTCAGGTCCTTCCACTTGCACAGCAGGCGGCGAAACCACTGACCTAAATCCCCGGCCCTACTTTATTGTATTTTGAGACAGGGTCTTTAAATTGCCTGGCTGGCCTCAAATGTGTGACCCTTCTGCCGCAGCCTCCAAATTAGCTGGGATTACAGGTGTGAGCCACTGTGCCAGCTCACATCCACCGCCTTAGAAGGGAGGGCGAAGAAGTGGGAGCAGGAAGTGTCATCAGAAGGAAGCAGGTTAAGGTGCCCAGTGTGTCTGGGTCCTACTTGTCTGGGCATGTGAGTTGGTCCCCAGCACTGCCCACCATCCAGGACCCCACTGAGAGGCATGTGCCTTTACCCCTTTTTTGTCCCGGAGTCTTTGCAGCGTTTGCTGGGAATGTTCGGGGCCTGTTTGTGTGGGGTTTTATTTTTTATTTTTTTCAGTACTGGAGATTGAACCCAAGGCCTCTGCACTCAGCTACATCCTCAGCCATTTGTTTGTTTTTGCAGTACTGGGCATTGGCCCCATGGGCTCTGCACTGAGCTAAGTCTCTAGCCCATTTTTAAAATATTTTTATTTTGAAACAAGGTCTGAGTAAGTCACTAAAGTTGCCCAGGCTGAGCTCAAACTCTCAATCCTCCTGCCTCAGCCTCCCAGAGTGCTGGGATTGCAGGTGTGAGCCACCGTGCCTGGAGTGGGACCAGTGATCTTGACAACCCTTACTCTAGCGGTTGTCTCTCAGTTTATCGTGCCATTGAAAGGGCCTCCCTGGGTAGAAGACACTGTAGGTTCTCACCTTGCTAATCCAGCTGCTCGCCAGCTGAGTCCTTAAAGGCTGCGTTTGCATCTTGAGCAGCCAACCAGCACCAGCTTATCCGAGGCACGTGGGCGAGGAGACTGCGGGCAGGGCAGAGCACTGGCCCTCAGACAGGATTCTGCATCAGTGTCTTGTTCTGAGCCTTGGCTGGGGGGGTAGGGGTAAACAAGCGCTTGTCCAAATGTCCATCCTCCAGCCTCGACAGGGTGAGTGAGCTGTCCACCCCACCAGGGCCCGAGTATGCGAGGGTGGTCTCTGCGGCTCCTCACTGTGCCGCCCTCCCACACAGGCAGCCACACTGAGCATGAACCAGTTGGCATCATGGCTTCTTCCGTCTTGGTCACTTGCCTCGTGGCTGGCTCAGCGTACGCATACGCAGCACTTCGCCCCTGCAGGGAAGAGGTTTATTTGGATCATGTTTTAGTTCATAGCAGAGGAGAGGGTGGGAACCTGAGGGAGAGATCCTGTCAGGTGACCCCTGGTGACCACCCTCTTCCTCTTGTATGAGGCCCCACTTCCTAACAGCACCTTTAGCTATAGCACCCATGATTCAGTCACCTTGCAGAAGCCCCGCCTGTGAGCACATGAGGCTGGAGGGGGTCATCTAGAGAGAGCTAAGCCATAACATGTTCTAGGAAACTTTCCAGCACTAGAGGTTAACCCCAGGGCTTTGCACAGATCTGTGTCCTGGCCTTGGTTTTGTTTTTCATTTTGAGACAGGCGCTTGCTAAGTTACCAGGTTGTCCAGTGTGGGCCGAACTTGCGAACCTACTGCCTCAGCCTCACAATATGCTAAGATTATAGGTGTGCACCACCACCCCTGGCTTAACAAAGCGACTTACTGAAGTCAGGTGATGCAGCAGTCTTGTTGGCTGACTCCTGGCCTAGGCCACAGCAGTGCCTCCTAACTGGCGTCCCTGCCTTTGTCCCTTAGTCTCTTTTCCATGTAGCATAGCTTTTAAATACAGCAGTACAAGCGCTTATCCAGAAACTGAGCATGTTTCTCACTGATGCGGCCTGCAGTGGCCTCCCATCAACCATGGTGTAAACCCGGGCTCCTGACTGTGGCCCTGTATGAACTGCTGGACAGAACACATCTGCTTCCTTCCGGTTGGCAACGTTTTCTCTGTTCACCCTTGCCCCAGCCTCAGGGCCTTCACGTGAGCTGTCCGGCCCTTCTTCCTCTCCTTCTGTAGCCAGTTCCTGGTCCTTGTTAGGTCTCACGGGGACATTGCCTCCTCCCAGTGGCCTCCCAGGGCCACCCTCTCCAGCAGCTCCGCCGAGGCCTCTGTGTGTCTGCTCCTCATCACCGGAACGATGAGCTGTGGGTCACCTTGTGGATCCCTGACCCTGCACACGCACACCAGCTGCCGGCCCATGACAGTTGGGCCCCAGGGTCTCGTTCTGGATGTGGTACCAAGCATTTGGTGGAGGCGTTGCTCATTTAGGGTGAAGCATTTCTGGTGTTCAGAGTGCTCTTTATTCAAGGACTCTCACCATCCTCTGGGAAACTGTATAAACAGCATCACAGCTGGGGTCTTGTGCACCTAGAAGAGAGGCTGCCTGGTGGCTCAGAACTAGTAACGAGACCCAGCACCACCAAACCCCAGATGCGAGGCCGGCATCTGGAGCCCAGTAGCGATTGTCTTCGGTTGTTTACTTGGTGAAGGTTATGTTTCTTTATGTCGGTACTGGCCAGCCTCACACTTCTGGGTGCTTGGGGACCAGCTCAGCACAACCGGTAGGGACTGTGCTGTACAGGAAGCTATGCTGGCTGCTGCTCCACCCACCCTGGGTGTAAGCACAGCAGAGGGGCCACCACACGAGCAGTTGAGGTGAATATTCCTTTGGGTGAGGGAGTTGGCTTATTATCAAGATCATATTGGGGCCGGGGATTTAGCTCAGTGGTTTTGCCGCCTGCTGCACAAGCGCAAGGACCCGAGTTCGATCCCCGGTACCAAAAAAAAAAAAAAAGATCATATTTAATTTCCTGATGAGAACAACGTGGATGTGTGAGTTCTGTTTCCCATTTATTTCTGCAGAAAAATTTTAGTAGCTATGTTCTGTTCTTTCCCTGATAACATTAGCAGCGAGGAAGCCCACAGAGGTGGCCTCCCGCTGTCTGATGCAGGACACATCCTGTTAGAAGGAGCTGCTGTGTGTCTAGCTTCCCCTCAGTTGGGAGACATCATTAGGGGGATATATCTGCAGAGTTGTCACTTGTGAGCAAACAAGGGGACAAGAGTATGGGGAGTTGAACCCAGAGCCTTTGCACTGAGCTACATCCCGAGCCCCTCCCCCTGTTTTTGTTTTGTTTTTTGTTATTTTGAGACAAGGTCTTACTAAGTCACTGTGTTTCCCAGGCTGGGCCAGAACTTGGTGATCCTCCTGCCTCAGCCTCCCTGAGTGCTGGGACTACAGCTGAGTACTACCACGACAGGCTTTTTTTTTTTTTTTGTACCGGGGATCGAACTCGTGTTCTTGGGCTTGTGGGGCAGGCGGCCGAACCACTGAGCTAAATCCCCGGCCCCAGGCTTCTTTTTTGGTGCTCTTGGGTAATGTGTTGCCCAAGGGAAGGAATCCTGTGATGAAACCTTTCCAACAAAGAATTCCATATTGTCTTCTTGCTTTTTTTTTCCCCTTAAAATACCTATTTTGTTTAGTGGCTACTTAAAAATACTTTGCTTACCAGGAGTCACATTTTGGAAAGTATTTTATGTCTAAAGACACATTATTATTAAGACCATTAGAAAACTTAGTTAATTAGGGGAAGCATTTGTCCCATCACGACAGCAGCATGCTTTACCCCAGGTAGGGGAGAAACGTGGTGGCGGCCCCTTCTAAGGGCTGTGCTCTTTCTCCTGTGAATACAGCTGTGCGTTATACTGAGTATTTAAATCTGATTCTCTCTGTAGATTGCTGCTAAAATTGATTCAATTCCTCACTTGAATAATTCCACACCTCTAGTGGACCCCTCAGTGTACGGATATGGAGTACAGAAGCGGCCCTTGGATGACGGAGGTAAGTTGCCGCAGATACCTTGCCTTGCCAGTGGCAGTGGACCTGCCAGTTTAGCTTCAGTTCGCGTCAGCCACTTCCTCGGCAGCTTCTCCCCAGCACCCTTTAAAGGAAGGGTTCGGGATGATTTTTCTCCACAGTTCACCAGCCTTTAAGTTCCTATCTGCCTCGACAGTACAGGAATCTTTTCAGCTGGACTCCAAGGCAGGGGCTTGGCCTCCAGCATCTGTTTGGAAGCCTCGTGGCCCACTTGAGAATATCGCTTGAATTTGCCCTGTTCTTCAAGTGCACGCATGGGAACTGAAGGTCCCACTTTTCCCCAGAGGAAAGCTAAGATTTGGTGTATGGCGCTGCAGAAGTGGTGGCTGCATCTTGACCTCAAAGGGAAGAGAGGCAGTGAGCTCTCTGCAGTCTCCTCTGGGTTGTCACCATCTCTGTTTGTGATAGGCTCCCTCATTCATTCATTCACTGTTTTACTGGTTCGCTTGTATTCCCTGCTCCATCCCAACAGGAACTTGAGGCCGTGTAGAGGCAGGCGCGTGTCAGCAGTGCTTTGGCAGAGTTTGCCAAGTGTTCCTGCGCTGCTCTCAGCTCCCTTTATCATCTTGTCTTGCATTGCTCTCCAGGGGTAGGGGCCCTAGGCTGTGCATGAGGCTTCTCTGCTGTTCTGTCTGTGGGCCTGCAAGCACACCCAGGTGTGTGTATGTACTTTCCTCTGTGGTAGATCGAGACACAGAATAGTACATGTTGTGTGACCTCCTTTTCCATAACAGGCATGTGTTTTTATGTGTGTAGGAGAATGAAACTTAGTGTGACTGAGTTCTCTGGTCTCTGGGAATTCTGAAAGAGGCAATGGCATTGTTTTCAGATGTGGGAACTTCTTTGGGATAATTGTTTGGACTCAAAGGGTGAAGTGCTTTAAGGGGACTGCACTCACTTGAATGTGAAGGTTCCTGTCTGTTTAAAACTGGGGTCACACACGCAGACAGTGTACTCTGCTCTGGGGCCCCGTCCCGTGTGCTTTTCCTGCTTGCCTGGTGGTGGCGGCTTCTGCATTCCCCCTGGTGACGAGCTTCGCTGCACCTCGCACAGGAAGAGTGGCCATGCTTTGCTTCCCCCTGTAGGGTATCAGTGTAAAGATAAAACTAGGCTGTCCGCTCCCGCTCACAGATCTCGTTAATGGACAGTGTCTCTCTGGCCCAGTGTTTCCAGAAATCAAGATCAATACGAATACGTCTCACAACCTGTTTGGCCTGCCTTCCCTGCCAACTCAGCCTTGTTGTCCCCCAGCGCCTGGCGCTGAAGTGCCGCCCCTTAGGCGGGCGGCACACAGTTAGGCACCATGTCCTTGTGTAGGGAACACCTGACACTTGCGGATGGAGCCCTCTGGCCTGGTGCAGACATTTGTCTCCGGTCAGTGCTTTACACCCCCATTTGCAAGAACCCAGCTAAAGGCCCTGCATTCATCGAGGAAGAGAAGCAAGCAGCAGACAGGGAGCTGACTCGGCCAGGGCCACCAGGGGGCCAGAGCCCACCCGAGGCCCTGTGCATTTTAGCGGGCACAGTCACAGCTTTCGTCTGAAATCCTGATGCTTCACATCTGCCTATGTGCAGAGTGAGTTCTCCCAGACAGAAAACTAACACGGTTGCTCTTTCCCCTCGACAGTGAGCCTTCTTTTAGTGAGAAGGGCCAAGCAGGAGCCCTGCCATTTCCTGCAGGTCTGCAGGCTCATCTGCACACTGGGCACATTCCCTCCAGCCTTTTACCCTCCACATAATAGTCTGATAAAATCATTCCTCTTGTTTTGTTTTGTTTTTTGAGATAGAGTCTCACTATATAGTTCAGGGTGGCCTCGAACTCACAGTGATTCTGCTTCAGCCTCTCTGGAGTGCTGGAATGAAATGTGCACACTACCACGCCTGGCCATTATTCCTCTCCTGTTGAGCACTGTTAGATAAGAGTTACACAGATTTGTTTTCTCCAAGTGGCTGTCCACGTGTAGAAATTGGGCTCACTGTCGAGTTCAGCAGGAGCCCTGGGAACCCCAGTGTGGGCCAGCTGCAGCTTTGCTTTATCACCTGTCTTCTGGAGGCAATATGTGAGCAGCAGGTTCTGCTGGGAGCCGGTGCTGTGTCTTGGGCACTTTGGGCCTTAGAGTCTCAACGATCCTGTGTGAGCAAAGTCTGAAAACGCCTGGAGGCAGAGCGGGATGCAAGAATCCCAGCACTTTCTTCATCGAGGCAGAGATTTCCAAGGTTTGCAGTCTTTTGTTTGTTTGGCTTGGCCGGGTGTTTTCAGACAGAAGCTCACTAGATCGCTGCTTTAGCAATGTGAACTTTCTCACTCTCCTTCAGAGCAGAGTTCTTTAACCTTTAGGAGGGCGAGGTTCAGTGCCCTGAAACCACAGGTGTTATTCAGGCCTACTTAAAACGTGTCAGCTCTGAATTTAACCAGAAGGAGCCTGAGGGTAGGGCTGATTGGGGTGTTGAGGTTTGCAGACAGGTGCATGGGTTGGAGTAGTGAATGTGTGCGAGACAGTGCAGTGGCGTGGGTTTGTCCCCATATAGAAAGGGGCTGGGGAGTGGGCATTTTGAGCCACCGGGGAGAATCTGCTTGGAACCCAGAGCCCCGCTTCCAGGGCCTGCTCGATGCCCTTCCTGGCAAGAGCAGCCCTCCCGCTGCCCCAGCTTTCCATGGATTGGGTTGCTCTTCCTGTTCGCATCTCAGTCTTGACACCCACACTGTTAACAGTCTGAGGTATGCCTCTGGCACCCCACCAGGGCAGGCATCCTGGCCTGTGCTCGCTGGCACTTCAGGCCACACGGGAGCCTGTCTGACCTTTTTGAGTCCTCTCCTTGGGCGGATGTCCGCTCCAGCAACCAGGGAGGTGTGGATCTTCCCTGTCCTCCCAGCCTCCATGCCCTGCCTGTCACCTGGCTGGCTGCTTGGCTGGTATGACTTCTCCAGGAGACCTCAAACTGCACTGCCGAGCTGTGCTGCTTCACCTTCCCACCTTCCCTCCTGCCCCTTTGTCCTTCCCTCCCCTCATCAGGAGTAAGAAATCACATGCTGTCTGAGTCTCAGAAGGGGCCCGTTTGTCCCTTTCCTGGGGTCCCCAGCACTCCCTCCTTTGTTTTGTGGGGACCTGTGTTCTCCTTGTACTTGAGTCTCCACGATCAGTGATCTGTTTCCCCCAAGCTGCAGGTAGTGGAGGCAGTGACGCTCCTGCTCAGCTTCTCCCTCACCAGCTCCTGTCATTAGCATTTTCACAGTGGGAGAAGCTTGCTCCAAATCTAAAGGACGGTAGTAACTAAGAATTAGCTAACTTGCCGGGGATTTAGCTCAGTGGTTCCATCGCCTGCCTCTCGAGTGCAAGGTCCTGAGTTCAATCCCTGTTACAAAAAAGAATTAGCTAACTTAAATTCAGCTTTTTCCTAACAGACCAGCCAGGAAATAGTTTGGCTTGCATACCCCATCCCACTACTCAGCTGTGCCACTAGAACTCAGATGCAGCCATGCACACAGGTAAACAAGCCCTGGCTGTGTTCAGCAGGGCAGTATGTTTGTTTTTTTTGGTTTTTTGGTTTTTTGGGTTTTTTTGGTGCCGGGGATCAAATTCAGGTCCTTGCGCTTGCGCAGCAGGTGACGAAACCACTGAGCTAAATCCCTGGCCCAGCATCGCAGTATGTACGAAGCAGGCAGCTGCCCTCAGGCAGAGTGCCAACCTCCAATCTAAAGCACCAGCCTCATGAATGGTGGGCCCCCACACCTGCAAGGGAAGTGTACGCAGAGTCCCCAGCCACTGTCCTTAATTAAACCGGGCTCCCAGCGGCATGGCAGGTCCTGCCGCCTTGCTGGCCTTGCCCTTGAGAAGCCAGGTGACCTTGTGTTTACTCCAGAGCAGGTGGAACACTGGGTCTCCTCAGCATGCCTAGCAGGGAGTACAGCCTCTGGGGTTCCTGCCCTAGGAGCACTTCGGGGCCAGGCCTCACCCTCTTCCCGCTCCTGTGACGGGTGCCATATTCCAGCTGTGGGTGACCGAAGCCCTGCTCTTGCCAGGTGACTTTGTTTTGTTTTGTTTTGTTTTTGGTACTGGGGATCGAACTCGGGTCCTTGCACTTGCAATTCAGGCGCGGTGCCACTGAGCTAAATCCCCAGTCTGGCCCTTGATGCTTGTGATACCGTTTGGTGTGGTGCTGCACTGCCTCAGGCTCTTGTTTTTTGAGACAGGGCCTCGCTATGCAGTCCAGGCTGGCCTCACACTCACTGTGTAGTCCAGGCTGGCCTTGAACTCAAAGTGATCCTTCTGCCTTGGCCTCCCAAGTGCTGGGATTCCAGGCATGCACCACCATGCCTGGCTGCTTCATTTTATTTTGACAGTATTTTCTGAGGTGAAGGAAGATTTCTTGAGCATATTGTCAAGTGGAGTATTTAGAGGAAGATTGAAAGAAAATACTTTTATGATCCTTCTCAGGTATGTCAACCCTTGTAGCATAGAGCAAAGAGGAGGAGCAAAAGCAGAATGAGGAGGAAATGTTTTTTTTTTGTTGGGGTTTTTTATAGGCTGTTTTGTTTTTCTGTATTGTGGCTTGAGTCCAGGGCCTGCACACTAAACTACACCCCTGGCTTTTATTTATTTATCTATTTTATTTATTTATTTATTTATTTTATTTATTTATTTATTTATTTTTGAGACAGGGTCTCACCATGTAACCCACACTGGCCTTGAACTCAGGATCCTCCTGCCTCAGCCTCTCAAGGCCTGGCATTACAGGCGTGTGCCACCACGTCCAGCAGGCAGAAGGGTTTTGGGTTTTTTTGTACTGAGGATTGAACTCAGGACTTTGTGCTTACCAGGCAGGTGCAGCGCCACTGGGCTACGTCCCTGGCCCAAGATTTTCTCAGTCCTAGCATGAGAGATGACAGCCAGCCAGTGGCGCACACCTGTGATCCCAGCTACTTGGGCTGAGGCAGGGAGATCTCAAGTGTAAGGGAAACCTGGGCAGCTTAGTGAGATCCTGTCTCAAAATAAAATTTCAAAAATAGAGAGATGAGGGGACCAGGCAGTGATGAGGACCAGGTTGGTTGCAGCTAAATGACCTGGGCACCCAGTCCGCTGCCTGCCGCTGCCGCATTGCCTCGGCCCACAGGCACCAGTGGCCCGGCTTTGGGAAGAAAAGCGGGAATCTTTGATGCCAGTGCTTTCCCTGAGGGGTCAGGGCAGACATCGGGATGTGCAGAGCAGGCGGGGCAAGGAGCAGAGCATCAGTTTCCTCAGGCTGCCCAGAGGACTCGGTGTTGGGCCCACTGCCTGGAGGTGACCACTACAGGTGTCCGCCGGCTTCCCGCCCCTCCCGGGCAGGTGTGTGCAGCATCTGGAAGGCCAAGGTCCTCAGACAGGGCCCCAAGCTGACACGAAGTCTGACCTCAGAAGGAAGCAGCCCTGCCTTCCCTGCCCCTTTCTTCTGCCCTCCATTCATCTCAGGACTGAAATTCAGGAGCAGAGTGGCATTGGGTGCGGGCGGGGCCTGGGCGATGCGAAGCAGCAAGGGGCACAGAGCTGCATCCTGGGGAGACGGAGCTGAGCTACTGGCAGTGCTTGGCCAGGCAGTGGGTGGGAGACATTTCCCACGGAGCCCAGTGCAGTGGCGGTGGTGGCTTAAGGTGGCCCTGAGTTTTCAAAGCTCTTAGGGCGTAGGTTAGGCAGAGTGGCTCTCTACCCTGGCTGGGTGTAAGGATCACCCAAGAAGCTTTTTAAAACTCACCTTGACAGCTCAGCCTCCCCAGAAAGTAGTTTTGCAGTCTTACAAACTACACCCGTGCTCCCATGCAGCCCACAGTTGCACTGCTGGGCGTTTATCCCCCAGGAAGTGGAAACAGCTTCTGCACAACGCTTCTCCACACATGCCCAGAGCAGCTATGTCCATAGTGACCCTTCCCAGAATGTGTGTCCTTTGGGCCATGGAGGCTTGGGCCTAGCCACCGTGCCAAGGAAGAGTACTCAGCAGGAAAAAGGGACCGACGCTGTGTGTGGCAACCTGGCCACAGCTCCAGGAACTCCGCCCTGCACAAAAGGCCAACCAGCATTTTGGGATGAACAGTAGCTGTGTGGCTCTAGGCAGGTTGCTTAACATCTCTGAGGCTCACCTGTAAGAGCTTGTTACACTTATGTCATGAGATCATCCAATGTTTAAAAACACCAGTCTGACAATCTGAATAATCAGTTCTCCACCAGAACTAGCTGGTATACACACATTAAAGCATGTGTAACTTAAAAACTTTATGAAATACACACCTTTATTGTGTTACATTCTGTGTAACATTGTGTTACATTTCCGTGTCATTTTTAAGTAAAGCTCCTGTGACTCCCTCTGTTGAGTTCACCGGCTTACACGGAAGCAAGGCTTGGCGCTGAATAGAAGGCTGTGGAGCTTCTCTTCCCTCCCTGTGCTCTGTGGCTCCTTGAGTGAGTCCTGGTCCGGGCCGGGTGAGGTTCCGATGCAGCTGCCTGGCTCCCTACCCCGTGGCAGAGACTCCCCTGTGTGCCTTTCATCCCAGGCCTGGCCTGGGCCCAGCACCTAAGAGGCCCTGGCAGTGGCGAGGCAGGGGTGGCGGTGTGAGCCCGGGATGCAGGGCAGAAGGGCTGCCTCCTGTCCCTCCCCTCGGGCCATGGGCTGTGGGAGCAGGTACCACAAGAGGCCCCCGGTGGGGCCGCAGAAGAGTGCAGACTGCCAGGAGGAGCGACAGTGAGGAGATAAACTTTACTCTCGCTGTTGAAAAATAAATAATCTGCAAACTTAATGACAGGTCGTCTTCCGCTGAACTCGGTGGGCAGCTTTGGCAGCTGAGAGGAGAGCTGCTGCACGTGCCGGACACGGGAGGCCTTTGTGTCCCCCTCTCAGAAGGGGGGTGGTAGGACAGCCCCTGCTTCGGACGAAGGTCTGGGGTGGGATTTGCCATTCCCCACCCCCACGTGCCGCCAGCCGCCTTGTCCCGAGCAGTGGTGGGATGGCAGGGCAGGGTGGGTGCCTGTTACGCTCGGTGCCTGTCAGTGGGCTTTCTTGCCCAGTAATAACTCTGGTAGCATTTCTTTGGGAGAAGAAAAATGTAGCCTTTTTTCTTCTTCACTAGTATCTCTGGCTACCCGACTTTTTTTAGGAGCGTTATTGAAATTCACAGATATTACTCTTTAGAAAGAATTTTGTATGTTGTAGGATGACTCTTTTCTGTAAGATTCATTTTCCATACGCAGCCCAGGCAGCCTCTCATTATGTAGTGTGCAGGATAAATGAAAGCTACCCCTGTGCTCGTGGGTGTGCTAGAATTGAGCTAAGGGGACTTTGGAAGAAGATGAAGCATTGTTGGCCGGCTCGTGCCATTAGCAGGAAATGGGACTGATTTTATTCAGCGTTTTCCTCCTTTGCAGTAAAATGACTGCAGTTACCATTAAATTGAACTTGATAGGCTTCCCGTGGGCCCCCTGCTGGGCCCTCCTCCTGGGAGGCCACAGGAGAGGTCCTGCTCCTGGTGTGGACACCCTTTTGCTGTGTGAGCCAGGGGCCCCCTCATGAGCATGCCGGTTTCAGTGTTAGGAGCCAAACGGGCCTGGGCCCTAAGAGGGGGAAACCTCAGCCTTGGGTCACCGTGTGCACCAGGGAGGAGCGGGTGGGCTCCCGCCAGCTCCAGGGTTTACTCTGGCCTCCTGGGTGGTGTGGCCTCCCCTCCATCTCTGTGTGCAGCGACAGCATGTTCACTTCTACTTTCCACCTTTGTGAGCACCTGCACTGGTCAGCAGAGAGTTAGTGTCAGAAATTTAGTGCGTGGGTAGCACTTACAGTATTTACTTTGTCAACAAGAAGGGTTTTCCATTTTGGTGGTGAGTAGAGAATTGTGAGTGGCTTCTGAACAGAAGTCCTCCAGATGTCCTCTTGAGTCCCTTGGGGTTCTTTGTGGTGGCGCTGCCCTCTGCTCTGTTTCTGTGGCTGTCCCAGCAGGGGGTGGCCAGGGGCCTGGTTGGTGGGCAGCTCTCCGCTGCTCTCCTGGTTCCAGACACTCGGTCCCTGGGTCTTCAGCGGACCCTGATGGCAGCCGGGAGCTGACTTGAGTGGATGGACTCGCTGAGCAAACCCACAAGTGCTCTGCCTCAGTGCCGTTGGTGTGTGTGTTTTCTTCTCTCTGCCTTTGGTGGTGGGCAGTCCTCCTCGCGAGGAGGCGAGGGTACCTGTCCAAAGCTGGGGATTGTCCAGTTTTGGGGTGAAATAGGGATCATGAGCGCGCCCTATCCCAAGCAAGAGCATTTGTTATAGTCAAAGTAGATATGCAAAAAAAAACCCAAAAAACGTTTTAAGAGTCAGTTAAAAAACAATTCTCTTATCCCTAAGAAAAGCAGCTTAATAGTATATAGTGTCAGTGTTTTGGCTGCAGACCATTATCTTGCTATTGATCCAGAAGAAATACCCTGGTATACTTTTTATTCTTCTTTCAAAATGTCATGATTTGCTTTCTTTTCCTTTGTCTCTTTGACCAGCTGCTGTCCAGACTGAATGACAGGATTGCATTTGAACAAGAAGAAGAGCAGTTGGAGTTGTGTATTTCCTGTGTCAGACCCCTTTGCTTTTTGTCCTGAAGTTGATGTAATGGATCCTTTCCCACTTACCTCTTATCTGTTCTTTAATAACTTTCTCCAAAGATGTGTGTTTGAATGCTCTTTTTAGCATCTTGGAAGGTACATTCAGTTCCTTGCAATATGTTTGGGATTGGTACTTGTTTATTGTCTGCTGACTATATTTCCTGCACTGCATTTTTCAAAAGAGAAATGCCACAGAATCATTTTTGCTGATGGCTGGTGAAGGAGACACTCATCAATAGCTGAAAGAGAAGAAACTGGAACAAAAAGCGTAGCTAAAGTGGTTTTGTGGGAATGTGATTACAGAGTTGGTTTTAATAATGAGAGGCTGTTTGGCACTGTTGTCTCTGTGAAATGGGCTTGAGAGGCGGCTGCGAGTTCTTGGGGTCCACTGCATGCATCCAGTGCGTGGACGGAAGGCCGTGGTGGCCTGGCTGGGGAGAGGCCGGGAGGGTGGGGGCCTGGGGCTGTCTCCTCCCCCGCGGCCACCAGGAACATATGTGCGTGTTCTTAGTGACTACAGCTGCCATGGAGCAGTCCTTAACAATGCTTCTGAGGAGGTTAAATCTTCTCATTTGTTTTTAAAAGAGAAAGAAGGAGCCCTCTCGGCTTTACATTGAGTTGGGATCCCAAGCAGGAGGGAGGGAGGGAGGAAGTTAGAGGGATTTAGGCGAGCAGGATTTTCTCCCAGGCCTCTCAGCATGTGGACACACAGATCAATTTCTTATCCTGCGTTCAGCTGGACACTGGGTTAGAGACTGTGCTGATCAAGACATCCCCTCCTGTTTCATATCATGTAACGCATTCATTTCAGCCACTGAGCCTAAATTACTGCTTGCTTGCTTTCTGCCTTCCTTTTTTTTCCCCCCTGAAATGGTAAGGACTCGTATAAGGATGAAGTTAGTTTATCCGTGCTAATGCTTTGATTTTTCTTTTCTCTTTCTCTTTGCCACAGTAGGTAACCAGTTAGGGGCCTTGGTACATCAAAGGTAAGCAGTGGGTTATGTTTTATTATTTATTGATCATTTCTAATTGTTTATTGATCCACCATCTGTACTAGAGTGTTAGGAAGTCAGAGGTTGGGAGTGTGAGAAACCATGGGCTCCATTTCTTTAAGACTCAAGGTTTCCTCCAGCCTTTTCCAAGACAAGCCAAGGAATGAAGTGATAGAAGATACTGGAAATCAGGCCCTACGATACTGCAGCTTAGAGGACTTTCAGAACCCTGCAGTTGTTCTTTCTCCTGATGACAGAGTACATTTAATTTAAAAGGAGAGAATGTGAAATTGCCCTCCAGTTTTAGAGTTTCGCCCGTGTCTTCGGAACCATTCAGTTGAGAGTGTGAGGCCTTGGACTCACTGAGAACACTCTTGGTGCTCCAGATGCCAGGGTGCCAGCCTGCCTTGGTGACTGGGACTTGGCAGAGAACCTCAGCCAGGCACCCAGCTGGTCCTCTGCCTCTGTTTCCCCTCACAGCCTTCCATTAACTGTCAAGGATTTGGAGCGATGTAAAGACATCTGAGCTTTTAAAAAGCCAGTCTCAAAAAAAAAAAAAGCCAGTCTCTAAGATGAGCTACTTGTCACATTGTCATCCTTACAAGAGGGAAAAGTACACAGGACACTATGCCAGTTTCTTTTCCCCAAGGGCTCCCTTTACCTTCACTACCAGCAGTGAAGCTCTGTCCTCTGCATTGCCTGTGAATTTTGAAGACTTTCTAATACTCACCAGGCGTCAGTTAACCAAAGGATTTATCCAAGCCTCACTTGTTTGCTTTGTTTTTTAATTAAAATAATTTAAATGAGGCTGTTGTGTCAGGCCCCGAATTTCCTATTACACATAATTAGGATGTTACTTCCCAGAATGATTGTGCTTGGCGCATTAGGTGGATCCCAGCCTCGGCTTTAGAAAAGGGCCTGTTCTTCCAGGAAGGAGGCCCAGAGCAGCTCATCTCGGGATGTGTCTTCACCAGGGATCCTGCTAAGGTTCCTAAAGGCCAGGAACTACCCAAGCCATGGCATTATGTGCCACAGTGCCTTCAAGGCCTCTGGTCATTCCCCAAATAACATCTTCTGAGAGGAGACAGCTTGTGCGATGCACAATGGGAGCAGAAACCAGCAGCTCCGTGTCAGGGCTGCTGTCATCCAATGGAGCAGACAAGGCACACAGGCTGACAGCCCCCAGCGTCCGCTGCAAGATGTTAGCCCAGAGGGGCTGATTAGGAAGCAGGTTGCTGGCTGATTTGGGGGTAAAGGCGCGCATCCCCAGAGAGACCGACGCTCCTGTACCTGGGCTAGGGATGAAAACTGCATCAGGAGGAGACTGTTTGCTCCCATCACAGTGACACAGTGGCAAGTGCTATTTATGCTATTGCATTTCTTCTAAGTGCCGCACTTTCCTGAAAAATGTGCACTTTATTAAATCCTTCTTGTGATGGGTAAAAATGCAGCTGTGTGAGAGATGTTTAAAAATGCTCGCCTTTTTTTTTTTTTTTTTTTTTAACTACTTGCATTTAGCCTCCTCCCAAGGTAAATGTTTGGATTTAATTGCCTTCTGGGGTGTTGGGCAAATTGGACATTGTCGACAATACACTGTATGGCATGTTTGAAGGTATGCTTGAAAGAGCCAATGTAGTAGTTTTTTAAAAAAGAAAAGGCACGTAATGGAAGGGATAGTGTTCAGTGGAAGTTCCCCACAGGGCAAGGGAGGTGGTTGCCCGTCCTGGTCAGCACTGAATAGGTCCCTGTACATTGCAGAGTGGCCAGGAGACGATGGATAGAAGGACTGGAAGGCCTGGGGATTTAGCTCAGTGGTTTTACTGCCTGCTGCGCAAGTGCAAGGACCCGAGTTCAATTTCCGATACCAAAAAAAAAAGAAAGACTGGGAAACCAGAAGGTGAAGGCTGCTGGGTGTTTCTGCATCCAGAGAGGACTCTGTAATAGAAGGCTTCAAGGTCCTGGGACTGATGGCCCAGGAGCCAGGGAGAACCTAGCTATTGAGGGGTAAATGAGGCAGCAGAGAGCAGCTATGCAAGGAAGAGGCAGGTCCTAGAGGAGTTGATGGCTTTAGAAAACCCAGAGTTTCTTCCTCTGAAAGGAGAAGGCGGAGGCTCGAGCTTTTCAAGGAGCTTTTGACCAAAGGGTTCATTAACTGATGCTCTGCAGAGGCTCAGAATTTGTTGGTCAGTTTGGCATGACTTATTTCAAGCATTGCCAATATGGGAAATTTGGGAATCTAAAATAGCTGCAGAATTTTGTATTCTACAATTTTTCCAAAATGTTTTTGTTTTTAGGGCGGTCATAACAGAAGAATTCAAAGTGCCTGATAAAATGGTTGGGTTTAGTAAGTATCCACATTATCCTCTTTTTCCCTAATTTCTGTCTGTCCCATTTGTTCTGCTCTCTCTCATGTGAACCGTAACGGAATGCTTCTCACATGTGTTTGCACAGCCCTGAAGTGCAGCGGGTCTCTCAGGCCACAAGGGAGCCCAGAGTGTTGGGCAGGGATACCCGTCCCTTCTCTAGGGCCCCCGAGGCTCTGTGCTGTTTCATGAATGGTGTCCACTGTGGTGGTGCCCACAGCGTTCCACAAGCTCCCGGAGACCAGCATGGTCTGTTGTGAGCTGTGGGCCAAGTGTAATGTTTGTTGGATTCACGAAGCCATTCGTGCATAGTTAGATGTGAGCAGGAGCTGTATTCTGACCCTGTTCAATTTGTTTCAGTTATTGGCAGGGGAGGTGAGCAGATTTCACGAATTCAAGCAGAATCTGGTTGCAAAATTCAGATTGCTTCAGGTAAGTCTTCTTTGTCACAAATCTCAGTTAGTAGAAGTCAGTATTTTGCAAATGTTTCCAGCTTTGGTACTTTTGCTTGTTGCTTAGAAGTCTGGGGGTGTAGGTAAGTATGTGTCACTGCTGTTTCCTTGTACTTCCGGAGTTGGGCTCCTGCAGGAGCGCTAGAACAAAAGCCAGCCCAGAGACCGCCCTGCAGTGAGCTCCATGATGAAGGCACTGCCTAGGACCTGTGTTTTCTGCACCAGAATGTTATGCCAGGCGTAGCAGGGCCTCAAGAGTCCTGTGGTTTGGGGGTCACTCCTGGGGACTGCACACTGGCTGCCCTGGACGAGGCCATCCTGTCCCTTTGTGGAGAGAGGACAGCTCCGGGTTCTGGCCAAATCAGCATGTGGCAGATGCATTTCCCGCAGGGCCAGTTTGGGCCATGTGATATGGAGAGAGACAGTTTGAAGAACAGTTTTTATTTTATTTGCAGTTTTATCACCTCATTTGAGTTTGATCTTTTTCCAGTGGGGATACTTGATTAGAGAGATGTTTGTCATTTTTAAAAAGTACTCATTAGAGTGGCTGAAAGGCAGTAACTGCTATTAGCTATTTCTCTTTTTTGAGGGAAGATAGTTAATAAGCAGCTTTTCAGAAATGAAAGCATCAGGTGTGGTGTTGGAAAGTAAGGTTTGCGCCTCTGTCAGGTGGCCAGGACCACATGCACGCAGTGTCCCTGGTCTCTCGGAACAGGCATGCGATAACTGGTGATGGTCCAAAGTGCTTACCTCAGGCTCCTCACTGGTCTGCCTGCCTCAGAGCTGTTTGCAAGCCTGCGACCACTAAACTAACTGCTCTCCCCGCGGAGAAACTGAGGACTGGCACACTCAAGTGACTCGTCCGGCTGATAGCTCATGGGTGGTCCTGGAGCTGCGGCTGGGACCTAGGAGCAGTTCACACCCCTCTGCTGTGCCCTCCTAACTTCCCCCAAGGGACTGGTTTCTCCTCTGAGAAGCGGCTTTGTGTTCTGTCCCCAAGTGAAGCAAGCTGTCTTTTTGGGAGACTGGGCTTCTGTGGTGCTGGCGGAGCGAGCGGCCCGGAGACCCAGTCTGCACACAGGCAGAGGCACCCGTGCCTGATGCCCACCGACACACCTCATCTTCTTGATTCTTCTTATAGAGAGTTCTGGGATTCCAGAGAGGCCCTGTGTACTTACCGGAACCCCAGAAAGTATTGAGTAAGTTTGTTTTATTTACTTTTTCCTTTCACTCTTCCTCCTCCTTGCCCGAGTGGGGAGACGTGGAAGGGCAGATCGTTACCGAACACTGTTGGCCTGTGCTGCAGCCTGGCCGCCCGGCAGACACTCCCGTAGCAAAAGACTGGGAGGTCACCGCGCCAGGGGAGCTTGTCGGCACCTTCCCTACACACGGTCTCGCCTCTCCCCCACTCCCTGTAGCGCTGATGGCACAGCTGTCCTAACATCTCCTTCCCGAGGCAGGGTCTCCTCGGGCACGGACGTCGCCCACCTGAGGACGCTAACCAACTTCCTCCTTCCCGTTAGCACCTCCTTACTTGGGCAGGTCCGGACCAGTGGGCCTGTCCCTGGGAACTGCAGAATCCTGGCCCCAGGTGCTTCGTTGGGGCTCACCCCTTTACCCTTTGGATAATAACGAACCCAGGAAACCCACCTTTTGGTGGCCTTCGCTCCGCTCACAGGGCCATGTGGACCAGCCAGAGGGTCTGGACTTTGGGCCTGGCGCCGGCCCTAACCGGTTGCATTGCTCCTCTGTCCGGCGCCACATGCTCAGCCTAGTGCCAGATGCGGGCCCAAACCCAAGACCCTCCTGGGGCAGGGGCTGTGCTGACTCCAGCCATCTCGCTTTTCTTTTTCAATCTACTGAATAGCGCTGCGTTTGGGCACGGGGCGCTAAGATTATGTCTGGCTCAATAGGTAGGGTGGTTTTATTGTTTCCATTTCTCAGGGAGCCTAGATGAGTTTAAATTCTCTTGTTCTCCTGCAGCATTGCAAGTGGTGAACCAGAATAAACATTGCTGGCAGGTGTGCGTTAGAGGGCAAACTGGATGGTTTTGCTGGAGTCGAGGCATTTTTTTCTTCCAGCGCAGGTTAATCTAGTGCACCGGCAAAGTATTAAAAAGCCGCTGTGACCGAGAAGATTCGTGGAGTGATTCTGTGCACAGAGACTACAAGGGCAGCATCTATTTCTTGTCTCTCCCTCCGCTCTTCCAACTGGCCTAACACTCCTGCTTCATGGCAACCCAAGGAGTCGAGGCGCTGGGATTGTAACTTAGGGGGAAGACACTCTTTTCTCCAGGGAGCAATACAGCGGCCTGTTTAGTGACTGAGCTTTTCTCTATCGAAGGAATCAAAATATAGATGGCGTGACTTAGATGTGGTGACTTAAAGGGTACATTCTGCAGATAACAGCCAGGAAAGATTCTGGTGCAGAAAAGGGAAGAAACTGGGCTGTCAGTGACACTGGTCGGGTGGGCCACACTGTCACCACATGGCAGTTTCCCTCCTGATGATGGGTCAGTTACCAGCAGCCTGGCCCAGGAGGTCTGGCCCCTGCTGGGTGCACAGAGCAGCTGCCTGAGAGTGTGTGCCATGCAGGGCTCACCTCCCACACCTCCTGCAGCCACACTGGTGACTTGTGGCCCTAGTTGGAAAGTCAGAGCAGTTGTGCTGGTCGTGGAGAAGAAATTTTGAAACTGGGAGTTCAAACAGTGACTACTAACCCTTCCTTTCTTTCCATCTCTCTCATCGTTCTCTCTCCTGCCCTTTCTTAACAAGCGGTGTTGAGTGCTTACTCTGCAAGAGAGTTAACTGGGTTGGGAAAGAGAGGTGTGCAAAGGGGTAAGAGGACGTCCCTGTCACCAGAGCAGCTGGCATTCGGTAGGAGGCAGCCACTTTGTGAAGACACCAGCAGGCATGGGCCAGTGCCCTTCCCGGCGAGGCTCTGCGCTTGAGCAGTGGTGTCGTGGAGTGTGTTGCTTTTGAATTCCAGCCTGGTAGCGTGGCGGATGGCAAGGCGACCTCCCGGGTTGTGGGCAGGAGCTGGAGCTGGATGGAGGGCGGCCCTGACGCCTCGTGCTTTCCTGTCCTGCAGACCCAGGGCATTTAATGCTGATTCTCTTGTGGTTCTTTTCCCTCCCGAAGACAAGCCAAGCGACTCCTGGGGCAGATCGTGGACCGCTGTCGGAACGGCCCTGGCTTTCACAATGATGTAGACGGCAACAACACGATCCAGGAAATTCTTATCCCAGCATCTAAAGTGGGGCTGGTCATCGGCAAAGGAGGAGAAACAATCAAGCAGCTGCAGGTACGTGAGCCCCACGCAGCCCCAAGCAAGTGGCCCGGCTGACCCTGTGCACCCGCCATCCTGCCAGGGCTCCGGAGCTCTCAGCACCACCGTGCCCCGAGGCTCTGCTGGGCTCGCCTTCCCGAGCAGTGACAGTGTCTAGGAGGAAGGGCAGTGCCCGAGCCAGGAGCCTGCCCTGCCTGCCCTGCCCTGCCCTGCCATAAAGGTGTGCTCCCTCTCGCGGCTCAGAGTCCTTGTCTGACACTCTCGGAGCGCCTGCCTCTTGCCGCGGAGCTGAAAGACCCACTGTTCTCTTCTTCTGTCGGTCTGTCTGAGTAGGTGCTCCAAGAAGTGGGGCTCTGTCAGCTGCAGAATCCAGCATCTGAGACGCTGGGCCCAGACACAGTTCTGAATTTAGTGTCCCCAGCAAGGTTTGGGTCGGGGAAGCACAGTCAGACCCAGGCTTTCACAGCCACACACGAGTGGCCACAGCTGTGGAAGGCAGGCTAGGAATAGGCATGCATGAGTTGTTCGTAAAGCTGCCGTGGTAGTTGGGGACAGACCTTGAGCTCAGCTTCTGGGGGCTGTGGTTGGGGTGAGGGCGTGGCCGCTATGGATCTTGCTCTCTCAGCCCCGGCCTCAAATCATGGAAGGCACCTGCTGTGGAATCCCAGGGCTTAGGGCTCGGGGTCCCAAGATGAATCTCAGCCCAGGCTCTCGGGCAGCCCACTCAAGAGCCTTCTTCTGCCGGTGGCCTGTGAGTTAAATACACACGCTTAGCTTTGTGTGGAGGAAAAGAGCTCGCCGGCATTGGATGTTCTAGGCACTGGAAAAGGAGGAAGGGGAGTCGTTCTAGGAAATCGTTCTAGGAGTTCCACTTGGATGTTGGCTCACGAAGCGTGTTGTGTATGTTCCCAGAAGCCAGCTCCACAGGACAGGCAGGTTAGGGCCTGGGCTCAGTATGGCCGTGGCCTGGCGTCCTGTGGCGTCCACCTTCTTTTCCTGACAGTGAGGGCTGTGCTGGTCCCCACAGGAGCGCACGGGGGTGAAGATGGTCATGATCCAGGACGGCCCGCTGCCCACGGGCGCAGACAAGCCTCTCCGCATCACTGGGGACCCCTTCAAAGTCCAGGTAGGGACGGGGGTGGGGGCCCAGGGCCGGGGCTTTCGTCTTCCTGCCGTCAGATGTGTGTGCTCCTGTCTGGGGGAGCTGCTTTCCTGAGCCAGCTTGGTGATGCAGAGGACGCAGTGCTCTGCCACCCAGTGTGAGCCCAGCTGCTCTGTGCAGCTGTTCAGAAGTATTCAGCTTGGATAAGGGCTCAGCCCCTCGAGCTGCTGGCCGATGTCACGTGCTCAGTGGTGGCATGAGTAGGCGGCCTCTGGGAGGAGCACACCCAGGAAGTGTCATCAGTGATGAAGGCTGCGGTGGCTGGTGCCGGTCAGCTGCAGCTTTAGGTCTGCTGCCCCAGCGAGCTCAGTTGCGGGCTTTCTGCCTCTCATTTCTCACCTGCCTCCCTCAGCCCACACTGACTCGTCAGCTGCAGTGGAAGACGGGCACAGGTGCCAGAGCCACATGAGCACCTGTATGGCCTTACACGGTTATCCTGTGCCTGAGCTCGGAGCTACAGCCGCGCTGCCCAAGAGGAGTAGGGGGTTGGCCTTCACTCACCCACCACCTCCCCTTGCCATCCAGGAACAGGAGTGGGCTGTGGGCTGCGGGCAGGTCTGTCCTCAGGCATGAGTGCTCTTCCTGCCACCTGCAGCCCACCTCGCCACTGCTGCGTTAGAGTAGCTCTGTGGCAACGGCCTCGGACAGCCAGGTTGCCGTTCACCAGCGGGTCCCTTCAGGAGCTCTGGCTTGCTTCGGCTTCTTAGCCTTCCTCTTAGCTGAGCTGGTCGTCATCCGTACGTGAGCATAGGACAGATGGCTGAGGGTGAGCTTGGGGCTTTTCCTTGGGCCTCAGTGATGTAGCTCCTCTCCTGCCTGGGGAACTAGTGAGACCCGTCTCAAAATCTAACAAAAGGCCTGGAGATGCAGGAATATAAAGGGCCTGGCTTCAGTCCTCAGGACAGCCACAATTAAAAATCCAATTGCCCAGGCCAGTTGGCACTTAACTCGTTGCAGCTCTCGGGTCCCGCTGCTTGAGCCTCTCCACCCTCATGGCAGCCCACGGTGGGCCTTGCAGGGACGCGGCTCTAGCACAGTGTCTCGTTGACACTTAGAACTGTGAAGAAAATAACAATAACCTGAGGTTTTCAGCATTTTTTAATTTTAAAACTGTATAGTCCACTTTTTTATTTGGCAGAAGTAGTTTGCTATATTCAGATTAAATTGTTTTTTCTCTCCCCGGCTTTTATGAAAAACTTAAAATATTCATAAAAGTACAAAAAGCAGTGCAGTGAGCAATGGTATACCCTCAGCCTACTTGGCAATTTGCTGAGAGTGTATTTTTTTCTTAACCATTTATAAGAAGCAAATATCATGACATTTCACCCCAAGCCCTAAGAATAACCAGACCCAATCCCAGTGTCGCCGAAAAATAAAAGTAAGAACCAGGCCTAAGGAACTTGGTATATCCAGCCCATATCCAGTCCATATTCCTGTTTTTCCAAATGTCCTCAGGCTCTGATGGCTGTTAGGGGTCAGTCAGTTTCGGTTTTTTCCAGAACCACAGCACAGTCTCGGTTCCTGCACCCCTGTGGGCGGGCAGCCCTGGGTGAGGGGGAAGGGACTGGAATCGCCTCGAGTGCAGTCCGATCCATGAGGCAGTCTTGCTGCATTTCGGGCCTGCTTTCCATCCCTGGCTGGCTGTATCTTGCTGCAGGGCCTCTGTGAAGCCCCTCCTTGGGTCTTCTTTGTCACCTAACTGCCCTCAGCCAACCCTCTCACCAGAAAGGAATGGCACCAAGAAACACCTGGGGCCATAGGAACCCTTTTTCACCACATGCGGATGTGCTGGCCCAGGGTGTGGCTTAAGAGCTGGGTTCTCACTGCTCAGGTCTTCCAGGCCACGTGAAGAACACGGTGTTTAGGGTTTTATATCTGCAGCCCTCACCGGCCGCTGTCCAAGTCCCTTAAATACTGTGATAACTGAGTTCTCTCTGAATATTTAAGCCCACATTGGGAGGGTTGGATCTGAGAATTTCACTTGGTACAGTCTTCCCCCCACAATGCCTTGCATTCGTATCTACACAGCAAGCGAGAGAAATGGTACTAGAGATCATCCGAGAAAAAGACCAGGCTGACTTCCGAGGTGTGCGTGGTGACTTCAGCTCCCGGCTGGGAGGAGGCAGCATAGAGGTACGCTTGAGTCTCGGGGCGACATGAGCAGGTGCAGTTGTTGGTCACCCTGCTCTGAGGGTCCTGGCTCTGAGCAGGGTAGTTAGCTATCCTCACATCTTGGAAACTCAGAGTCTGCCCCTGGCCAGGAGTGTGAAGCCAGACTGCTGCATTATAGGACACGAGGGTCACTTCCCCTGCTTTCGGGTTTGACTTTAAAGGTTAGCTTGCTGTCCAGGTGAAGACCAAATTCTAGCTTTTCTCTGCGATCTGCTGACAGTGCCAGCCCTGGAAGCCCATTTCACTGATGGGTATCCTTCATCTCATACACGCTACACACTTGGTTGGGCTTTGGGGACAGGGCCAAGAGCAGTGAGCCAGCTGCAGAGACAAATCCGGACCAGGCAGAGGGGACGGGGCTGGGGAGGGAGAGTTTCCGCTGGGTGATCAGAGCTGGTGGGTGAAGGAGACGTTTGGGTGTAGAAAATAGTGGTAGCTCCGCAGCACTGTGCAGGTATTTAATGCCAATAATGGGGTTCAGTACATGGACTACACATGGCCGAGTAACAAACATTGCGTGTATTTTACCTTTTCCACAGCAGAAAAAATAAAGAAAAAAGTGTAAAGGGATATCAGTATGTATGTATATTTGTACTTCATTTTTATAGCTTTTGATCAGATCTTAGACTTATTTGATGAATATTTCATTGTCAAGAATGTAATCATTAATATTGTTCCTAAGAGGAAAAAACATGCTTTGTTATGTCATTTCCGGAATTACACTATCATGAAAACCAGATTATCTGGCCTTTTTAAAAGTCCTTAGAAAAACAGATTTCAGAAAACTGATGAGGTTCTTTTGTCTGTGGTAGGTGTCTGTGCCTCGGTTCGCTGTTGGGATCGTGATAGGAAGGAACGGGGAGATGATCAAGAAGATCCAGAACGATGCAGGTGTGAGGATTCAGTTTAAACCAGGTTGGTTTTGATGGTTCTCAAAAATCCTTAGTGGGGCCGGGGATATAGCTCAGTGGTTCCACCGCCTGCCTCACAAGCACAAGGACCCGAGTTCGATTCCCGGTACCAAAAAAACCTCCTTAGCGGAAGGAGTGAGGGCTCTGTTAGGAGCCACACACCCAGCCAGGTGCCCCCGTCTCTACCTCCCTGTCACGGCACCCTGGTTGGGACACTGGCGTGCCCGCCTTCCGTGCACGCTGCAGTGCTGCCTCGGTTCGCAAGCTGAATTCTTTCCACAACTCTGGTCACAGAATTCATTCCCCTTAACCCTGTTCTTGAGACCAGAAGCCAAATTGCAAACCAACTTAGGTCCACGATTCTGGTTGCAACTCAGTTCCAAGCATAGGATTAGGGTTAGGGTTATGGTTAGGTGGAATGAATTCTGTGATCAGAACTATGGAAGGCATTAAGTTTGCAGACCGAGGCACCACTGCACTGCAGCCTGACGGGTTTTCTTTCTTTCCTCCCCTTGAACAGCGTGGCACTTCCAGTCCGTAGTTTTGCTAAGTAAAGATTTTTTTTTTTAAATCATCTGCTCAATTTTATACAGAGATAATTTGTAATCTTGAAAAAGGATAAATATCTTAGAGGTTTTTATTGGGGGGATTGTTTGTTGTGGTGCTAGGGATTGAACCCAGGGCTTCACTCTGAACTACATCTCCTACCCCCTCCTTTCTTTTTCTTTTTCTTTTCCTTTTTTTTTTTTTTTTTTTGGTATCAGGATTTGAACTCGGGACTTTGTGCTTCCGAGGCAGGCACCAGAACCACTGAGCTAAATCCCCAGCCCCTTCTTTTCCTTTTTTAAGACAGGGTCTTACCAAGTCACCCAGACTGGGCTCAAGCTTGGGGTCCTCCTGCCTCAGCCTCCCAGAGTCCTGGGATTACAGGCAAATGCCACAATGCCCAGGTCTTTACATTTTATAAATTTATTTCTGTGGGAAAAATTTTCTACATTGTGTGTGTTTCTTCATTTCTCTGAAGAGAGAAGCATTATGATGTGCTATTTTTAGATATTATTGCCTTAACTCCATTCTGTTGTCCTTGGCCTTTTTATTACTTTGAGTTTTGCTTTGTTTTTCTATTGATATCTTTTTAAAATAGCTATACTTGCGTAAGAATTGAGTATTGACCTGAAGTAGGCCAAAGGATGGAATCGTACACATCTCCCGTCTCCCAAAGCAGTCCATAACAGAGGCCCGGGGTCCGGCCGCTGCCTCCCTGCCCATGTGGCGCTGATGAGAGCATGGACTGTGAGCCAGCCCGGCCTCGGCATCCTTTTGTGGATTTCTTACTCCTGCCTCTCACCTGGCTCTGCAGATGACGGGGTTAGTCCAGAAAGAGCAGCCCAGGTCATGGGCCCTCCAGACCGGTGTCAGCACGCAGCACACATCATCAACGAGCTGATCCTCACGGCCCAGGTGGGTCCTGCACTCTGCTTGTCACCTGCAGAACAAACGTGCCAGGGGAGTGGTCACACGTACCCCCACCCGTCCCCACTGGAGACCAGGGACCTCTCTGTGTCCACCTCTTTCCGGCTCTCAGACCATATTGATAGGTCCTCTGGGTTCAGAAAGGACCCCAGGAGCCTCCAGAGTCCTGGCAAGTCCTCTGGCACCTGGTTCCTGGCCTATCTTTGAGATGCACAGCTTGTGCGATGCACCTGGCCTGCTGTGGCCTGTGTTGGGCGTGCTGGCCCTATGGTGGATTGCCACATCCTCCAGTGCAGAGGGCTGACTGAGGAAATGTGTTGGGCGACTAGACCCAAGCAGAAGCGGCTGGGTAGAAGTGTCGCGCTCTGTCCTTCACCCCAGGACCTGGGACGAGTGTGGTTTCCACTCGAAGGTGCTGCTGGGTGGCCCCCTATGAGCCTTGGGTCCTTCTGAACCATGGAGGAGTGGGCCCCCCAGATCTGCAGGAGGGGCCGGGGAGGGGCCACTGTGACCAGAGTCAGGTGGCCGTGCTTGGCTTGGACCAGTGTGGAAAACGGCCACTGGCTGCTCTGAGCGAGGCACCTGCGGGATCCTCTGTGCGCGCACACGTCGGGCAGTGCACGCATTTTAACATGAATCCCCAGATTACCTTGTTTACCTGTCACTTGTCTCACATAAAAGCAGAGCGCAGGAGAGAAGCACTCCAATTATCTCTACTCTCTGCTGGCTTCGACTCTGGATAAATGTTCAGTTTGCTTGTCGTTGGCGAGAGCAGGCTTTGCCAAACATTCTTCACTGTGTTGAGCAACTTTGGGGCTTCCTTTCTGCATGAAGGAGCTTATGGCTTGGTCAGGTTTGCCCTCTGCACTTGGAGGATTTTAGGTACTGCAGGCCCAGAGTGATGACACTGGCCGAGTGCAGGGCAAGGCTTGCTGAGCTGTGGGAGGGGCTGGGCCGAGGCCCCGCTCTGCTGGCCTTTGCCCTGCCCTTCTTCCACTACCCTGGCAGTCACTCTTGAGCATTTGCTCTTTTCTAGGAGGCAGCCTGTTTGGTCCATTTTCCTGGTAAAAAACAAGTGCAGGGTGTTCAGACTGGGAGGGAGTGGCTCATTGTCACATGTGCACCTCGTGTCCGTCCCGAGTGCCCAGAGCCCCTTGGCATCTGGTATCTGGCTTCAGCCATAGAGCAAAGCAGCTCCAGCTGTGAGGAGAAACCCAGGTCTCGCCGCCTGTGGGTCAGGTGCTGTGGTTAAGACTCAGAGGCTGCTGGGCTCAGATGCAGAGCTGACAGCTGCCTGCCCGTTCGAGCCGGGCACTTGTGCTGTTTCACACCCACGTGTGTCCACTGTGCCCGTCCTTGAGTGCACCTGGGACACGCGTTAGTCCTGGGCTGAAAGGTGCCAGGTCCTGATGTGTGGCATTGATCACATCCTGTCACGGAGCCGCCTCCCCCCAGAGCTGAAAAGTGCCAGTGGCAGTGGCAGCATGTGTCACTAGAGCCCGTGTCATCTTCAGGAAAGAGATGGCTTCGGAGGCCTAGCAGTAGCCAGAGGTAGAGGCCGCAGCCGAGGCGACTGGAACATGGGGACTGCTGGTGGCGTCCAGGAGATCACATACACCGTGCCGGCGGACAAGTGTGGCCTCGTCATAGGCAAAGGTGAGTGAGAGGCCACTGCTGGGGCCATTCGGTCCGCCTCCCGCTTCCCCAGGGGGGACACGGGTCACTCAGGCCTGGTGGCTGGGGCAGCCGGTCTGTGTGGTGTCAGCTGCCTTCTGTGGGAGCCCTGCCTGGGGCAGGCCTTGTCTGGCCCCGACCCGGCCTGTCACCACAGGGCAGGTGTTGGAGTGTGAACGGAACCCCTGTTCCTGCCCGGAGCGACTGGCCGGTGATGAACTCGCCCGCAGTCACAGGGGCAGTCGAGCTCACGTCCTGGGAGCAGGCCCGCTCTGGCACAGGTGGCACTTGTCGGATGTGGGTACTCCATTGTAGTTGATGAGAGTCATGTGGGCATCCTTTACCCTCTGGACCTGCGCTTCCAGGGGGACAGACCCCTGGACTTGTGGACTTGGTGGCCGCATCTAGGCCTCAGCCCTGCTAGCTGGGAACCTGGGCAGCGGCTGCATGGGAGAGTAGCGGAGCTCTGGAAGGGGCTTCGCCTGCTAGGCCGGGGCAGGGGGGGCCTGGCTGTGGCAGGGCTTGTGTGTGGGGTTGGGTTTTGTGCTCGCCTTCATTGTTCATTTGGCAGCATATGGAGAAAATAAATACTGCCTTCTCCCCAGAGTTTCTCAGATTTCTTTGACCACCAAATACCTCTTAGCTGTTTTGGGGTGTTCGTGTTGCAGGGAATGTGACAGCAGGCCTTGGGAGTGGGTGGGGCGCTCCGCTCCGCTGGAGGACAGTGTGAGTTTTGTGTCCTTTCACACCTGCATCTCCACTGTGGACGGTGTCTTTCAGATCAGGCCACTCTGCGGTGGCAGCAGTGTGGGCGGTGATTTCTGGCACTGCTGCTGCTGTCTTTGGCTGCTTGAGTGCTGCAGTACGTATGTCTGTCACACACGCCACCCAGGCTCTCATGCTGCCAGGAGATTAAAGTCTGTGGGCGCCTGTGGGTGGATGACCAGAGCCTGGCCCCGAGGCCTGCTGAGAGCCATTGTATCTGAGGTTTTCAGTCCCCTGTGTCCAGCAGGGGCCCACTGGCCTGACTGCAGCACCCCCTCCTCGTGAGCCCTTGGGGCCACAGAGCAGCCCCATGAGTGCGCATGTTGTGTCCGCCTCCACAGTCACCCACGGAGCCCTGGAGGGTGGAGGCAGGGCGGAGCGGTACCTGCTGGGGAGTCCCCGTGCTCCCTCAGGGCGCAGCCTGGAAGTCCGGTGGAAGCTGGAGCTGTGCAGCCAGGCAGAGGGTCTTTCTCATCACCTGCGCCTGTCACCTTGGTGTTTCCTTTCTGGGGGAAGCATGTGGTGAGGGAGAGGGAGCCGCAGCAGCCGGGCCAGGCATCCTGGGCTCCAGCCCTTGGACAGACATGCGCCTCCCCGGGCCCCTGCCGGATTTCCATGATAAACACGGCAACATTGACAGATAGCGTGGCCAGCCCTGCTCTTGTCAGCCAGTCCTTTTAGTAGCGTTGATTAATTGCTTTACGATTTCACGTCTAGCCGGGGGCCACTGGTAGGTCGCTTCTGCCCCCCATCAGGTGGAAGAACGGAGCAGGCTGCTGAATGAGTTGACAGATAGCCACCATGTGCCAAGCTGGTGACCTCATTTTGAAGGAAGATGAACTTAAAATTAACTCCTTCCAGCCCCTTGCAGCTTGGCGGCGGTGCCTCGGGGTATTAGCCTGCTGCTGCTCCCTTGGCAGGGCTGTCTGGGCTCCCAATCGCCAGGCCTGCCGCCACCCCTGTGCGCTCCCCTGTGCCGTGTGGCACTAGGCAGACTTGGAGAGTCCTCAGGTCTTGGGTGCCCTGCGAAATGGTCTCCTCTCAGTGTTCCCCGTGTGCCCTGAAGCTCTCGCCTCAAGGGCAAAACACTGGCTTTTGCTGGAGGGAAGAAGATAAAGCCCCTGACCTGGAGGAAAGGGCCCAGGGGCTCACACCTGCTGGGAGGTGGAGCTTCTGGCAGGCTCTGCCCAGGAAGTCCCCAAGGCTCGGCATGAGAAATTCTAGCGGAGCACAAGACTTTGGTGGGGTGTTTTTTTTTTTAATCTTTCTTTTTTCCTTTTAAATTTAAAATTGCAGGGCTGGGATTTAGCTCAATGGTTCCGCCGCCTGCACCGCAAGGACCCGAGTTCAATCCCTGGTACCAAAAAAAAAAAAAATTTTAAAATGGCCCCAGACTAACAACACACAGGAGCCCACCGGACTGCCCACGATGAAGGACCACCACACCCAGCCTCCATTTCCCTCTTACCCCTGGGAGCCCTGCATCCCCGGAGGATAAAACAGTGTGCCCTCCTCTCAGCAGCGGGAGGGGAGCAGCTCCGACACCCCAGGTGCCTCAGGTGTCACTTCAGTTCAGTTGTGACTGTAGGTGGGCAGAGGCGGCACCAACACTGGTTACCCATCTTTGCTGTCCATTATTTGGGGCTCCTTGCGTCCCTATAGCAGGCTTTCAACATTTTATCTTTTGCCAACTTAGCAAAACTCTGCTCTAACTTTTCCTTGTATTCTAGCCGCTCCCCCCCCCAAGATCTAAGTTCTGTGAAATTTCAAAAGAAGAATCAGACCATTGTTACACTGCTGGAGCTTTTGTTATGCAAATTTCATTAAGAGACTGGGACTCTCACAGGTTTTTGAAAGAGTCCAACTACATTTTCATTAGCCCGAATCACGAGTCACCCAGCCCTGTACTGTGCTGTGCCATCTGCCCCCACCCCACAGAAGGGTGGGCCATCACCACCCATCTGACTGCCAAGGGAGAGCTGCACAGTGGCCCCACCCGGCCGAAGGCACCCTTTGTGCAGGGGCGGCGCGGCGAGTCAGTGCCCCTGGGCTTGGGGGGCTCCGGTGTCTTCCCTTGGTGACTTCCCTTGGTGACGCCTTCCCTGGGTGACGTCTGGCTCGGTGGGAGCATCAGCGGCTGCCTGCAGCCAAGCTCCGCCAAGGAGCAGAATGGGGAGCAGGGGGCAGGTCGCCGGGCCTCACCCTGCCCTGGGTTTGGTGCTACTGGGCCTCTGCTTTCCTCCAGGCAGCTGGGTTGCCGGAGTACAAGCCCTGGGTTTTGTTAGAGCCCTGTGTGGTTCCTAGAGGGAGCAAGAGCTTCCTTCAGGGCGCTGGGCCAGGCGCCCTCCCTCACCCTTCTGTCTCCTGCCTGCAGGGGGCGAGAACATCAAGAGCATCAACCAACAGTCAGGCGCACACGTCGAGCTGCAGAGGAACCCCCCTCCCAACACTGACCCCAGCCTGCGGATATTCACCATCCGGGGCGTCCCGCAGCAGATCGAGGTGGCCAGACATCTCATAGACGAGAAAGTGGGCGTACGTACCCAGCCCTTTCCCAACTTGGCTAACTGTAGCAGGACTTTCTTTGGCATATCCAAGGTACCTGTCCTCCCTGGAACCTTGCACTGCCTGTGCCTTCCATCCTCGCGTTCTGGGGAGCAGCCCACTACTTGGCCAAGGGCAGGTCAGAGGCCCAGGGAAGGCCAGCTTCTGGCAGGACTCCGGGACCACAGCAGCTCAGTCCACAGAGCATGTCCCATGCAGGCTTAGATAAACAGCGGGCAGCAGCCTCCCCAGCACTGTCCTGGGCCCCGCGGGCGTCGCCTGCCACCAGCCTGGCACCCGCAGCTTTCATTGACTCTGGCTTTAGTTTCAGGCACCTCAAAGCAGATAAAGGAAGGGAATGTTGATGGAGGACAGATGGGCCACTGCTCACCTCAGTGGGGACGTAGAATGGCAGAAAGAGCCCTGGGCCAGCCTAAGTTGACGGGAGAGTCAAGCAGGTTGGTCCTCCCCCAGGGTGACATGCCAGGGCAATCGTGGTGGCGCCAGGATTGGCTGTGCGGTGGTGCTGGTCACTGGAGGGCAGCGCCATGGCTGCCCTCGCAGTCGCTGTGGAAGGAAGGCTAGTGTGAGTGCAGGGGCGTCTCCTTCACCACTGTCTCCCGAGCTGGCTCGCCTGGGGCCTGGGCGGAGGGCGAGGCACCGCCGCAGGGGTGAGAGCCGCTCTGTGCCCACACAGGGAACCGGCCTCGGTGCCGCTGGAGCCTTCGGACAGAGCCCCTTCAGCCAGCCGCCTGCCGGCCCCCACCAAAAGTGAGTCTTCCGGGCTGCTAGGCCTCCTTCACGGCTCTCAGCCCAGCCTGCCGAGTTCTGGGTGTGGGCAGCTTCACCACCCTGGTGGTGCCTCTTGCCGGGCCACCACATGCTCAGCGGTGACGGAGCAGAGCCCCCAAGCCGGGGGTCCCCAGTCGGCCATTCCATGGGAGCCCCTCCCTGGTGGGGTGGGGTGGCAGAGCCCGGCTGCTGCTGGCACTTGCTCAGCAGGGCCTTGCGTGCCTGTCCCTTCCCACAGCACCTTTCCTCCGAGGGGCTCAGGCTGCTTCCCCAACCTCGCTGCTAAGGTGAACGGAAACCCCCACAGCGCCCCCGTGAGGTAGGTGGCGCAGACGAGGGAGGCGAGCGGGAAGGGGCAGGACAGGGCCGGGCCGGTGGGTGTGACGCACACAGCTCGAGTGACTCTGCTGTTGTCCACAGTGGCCCTCCAGCCTTCCTGACCCAGGGCTGGGGCAGCACCTACCAGGCTTGGCAGCAGCCCACACAGCAGGTCCCAAGTAAGTGGCTGGGGGAGGGGCGGGCGGGCACAGGGCTGCTCCCCGGGCCACCTGCCCTTGGGGGGGGCGTGCTGTCACTTCTGCTCCCCATGCAGCCCACGCCTTTCCTTTCCCGTGCCTTGGTCTTCGGCCCTCCAAGGGCGGCTCAGCTCCCATCCAGAGCTCTGCCTGCTGCTCGGCTCTCCCAGGCCGTCCCCTCAGGGTGGCCTCTCCTAGGGTGCCTTGAGCACAGTGCTGGCGAGCCTTTCAGAGATGAGTGTCCGGACTGCAGCCCCAAGCCTGCTTATAAATCGCAGAGTGCCAACACTGCAGTTATAACTGAGTGCTGAGGTTTGAGTTTAGAAAAAACAACTGTTAGTGGATGCTCGGCTGCTGGGTGACTTGGCTTCCGGGCTGCCCGAGAGGGCTCTCCGTGCCCGCCGCAGCACACGTGCCGTGGTTCTGTCACCACGGCTTCCACGTCTCGCCTCCAGAGAGCTGGGTGTGGGTGGGCCAAGTCACTCGGGCTCCATGCCATGCCATGCCGGGCTTCCCATCCTGTCCCATCTTCGCGTGGAGCCCTGGGAGCCCAGCAGTGTGTCTTCAGAGCCCCGCTGGTGGGGCTGCACGGCGCCCCTGCCCAGGAACAGAGCCCCCGCACCCACTCTCAGCCTCCGCTGGTCTCTCAAGTCCAGGGTTTGAGCGCTAGAGCTCTGCGGTTGTGTTTTTTTCCTTTTCCCCTCAATATTTCATTGTGTGACACTTGGGACCTTGGCAGAACTGTGCCAGGAGCTCCTGTACCACCTGGGTTCTGGCTGCACCCAGGCTGCTGCCCTCAGTTTACCCCACCTCATGCCTCCTGCTGCATGCTGTCCTCGCCTGCAGGGTGCTAGGGTCCCTTCCCATTGCCCCATTGTGCTGGAGGACCTAAGGAGCTGCTGCGGCCCCCCGAAGATCGTGGGTCTCCCTTCGCAAGTGACCCTTGGGGCTGCAGCGGGCGCCAGGTTTCATGGCCCCTGGCCCGAGTGGCTGTGTGAGGTGGAGGGACAGTGTGGGCCGGGCCGGGCTGGGCCGGGGAGGTCTGTGCAAGCAGTCGGGCTGCCCGCCTGCCTCAGCCTCCTCGGGCCAAGAGGTCTGCGTCTCATCCCTGCTGCCTCCCTTCTCAAGTGCCCGCCAGCCCTGCAGCCGTGAGGTCCTGAGCAAGGTGGTGCCTAGTGCGTGTCCTGCAGCCACGCTGGAAGGGCAGAGTGTGGGCGCCTTGTGGGCCTCGGCGAGTGGACACTTGAGCCAGCCGTGACCGCAGCAGGACACAGCCCCGCCTTGTCCAGCGATTGGGTCTGTGGGCCCTGCTCAGGCAACCCTGCGTGCCTGGACTCTGTCCCTCTGAGGAGGCAGGGCGAATGGGCTGACGCCTTTCCCTCCGCACAGGCCAGCAGAGCCAGCCGCAGAGCAGCCAGCCTGACTATGGCAAGGCCTGGGAGGACTACTACAAGAAGCAGAGTGAGTGGGTCAGGGATTTAGCTCAGTGGTTTCACCGCCTGCTGCACAAGTGCAAGGACCCGAGTTTGATCCCCGGTATCAAAAAAAAAAAAAAAAAAGGCAGAGTGAGTGCTGAGCAGCCCCTCTGCTCCGGGTCCAGGCGTCCTGCTCCCTGGCGGTGCCCTGCGGCCCGTCTGTTGGGCCATTCCAGGCAGCTCAAGGGCAGTGGGACTTAGGGACCCAAGCGTGTGTGCGGAGGGCTGGTGTGTCTCGAGCTCGGTCCTGACAGCCCTGCTCACCTGGTGTTGGAGTCCCTTCCTGTGGCTGGGCTGGGGTGTTGGGGTCCTCAGCAGCAAGGGGACTGGGTGGACCTCTGGATGCCCATTCTTCTTCCCCAGTGCTCCCAGGCCCTCGTCACAAGCTCTTGGGATTTTGGACACCCATGCTGAACATTCGTTTCCCTTCTCCCCGAGCTGTGGGCCGGTGGGAGGGCAAGCGGTGCAGTGGGTGCCTCTAGAGAGAGCGTGGGTGTGAGAGCGGCTTCACAGCAGGAGCCATGTCTGTCGGTTCCCACAAAACTGACCACGTTGCCTCCCTGTCTCCAGGTCACCCGGGTCACGCCGCCAGCGGGGCTCCTCAGGCCAGCTCACCACCCGACTACACAATGGCCTGGGCGGAGTACTACCGGCAGCAGGTGGCCTTCTACGGGCAGACACTAGGGCAGGCACAGGCCCATAGCCAGGTCCGTAGCCGTCCCAGGGCTGGGGACCCCTGAGAGCTCAGCTGCAGGCCCTGTGTCCCGGTCGGGCCACTGGAGAGGGGGATGCTGTCCTTCCCTCTGGGCCTCAGTTTCCCTAGCTGTAATGCGTGTTGAGCATCCATCTGACATTGCCCACTCCGGCTGCTACTCTGAAAGGCTGTGGTCAGCCACTGGCAGCGTGGCAGACAGTGGCATGCACAGGCAGGGCTGGGCCAGTGCTGTCCACACACACAAACCTGGAGGTCCTGTTGCCGGAGCAGGATATGGGTTCCTGGGGGTGGGTGGGGCAAGGGCTCCCGCAGGGCACGTTTCAGGTGACCTGAGGCCCAGCCAGCTCCCAGGGACAGTGAGCGCCATTCCCCAGGGCTGACAAGTGCTCACCCCGCCGCCTGTGCCCAGTGTCCCCGGCCGCCTCTCCCAGGGCCTCCCCGAGGCCCTGCCCTGGCTGACGGCTCCCCTTCCCTCCTGTCCGGCCCGCAGGAGCAGTAGAGCCGCCCGCCCACCGCTCCCCACCACGCTCCCCGCAGTTCAGCGAGGAGGCGGCCTGTTCGCCACAGAGGTTTCGATGAAGAACCCATGTTTTGTTCTGTGAAACACTATATTTAGATTAACAGAGTATTTCTAAAAATCAGGAAAATTAGTTACTAAAAATTGCTGATAATTTTTGCTTCATTGTTTCTGTTTGTTATTTCAAATGTGTGAGCTCTGGGATTCTTTTCAGGCCAGAGCGCGCCTTGGAGCAGACATTTCAACATGGTGATTTTTGTTTTGTTTTGTTCTGTTTTATTTTGTTTTTGTCTTTTTATTTACAGTTTTTTTTTCTGTTGCAACAGAAAGTGGCTTGGAAGTCTTAGGTAGTATGTAACAAATTCTTTAAAAATTTTTAAACAGTATTTAAATATTCTTAAATGTGTAAATTCATTAAGTGTTTTTACTTCTAATTTCTTGTATCTTGGCTATCTGGTTTTATTGCATTTTTTAAAAACCTGAACTATTATGTATTGTAATTAATTATGTGAATTCTGAATTGAGACAGATAATTGTATTGCTGTCCAACAGGGCTTGGGAGGGGACATTTTGTAGGGTTTGTATAATTTCTAGAGTTGTAAGGGGTAATATAAACATGTGTGGATGTGTTTAGCAGACGTTTTTTTCATGTCTCATTACCGGTTGCAATTGTGTATCTAAGACCTCCAAGCTGGTTTTAAAAACAAAACAAAAAACCTTTATTCTCTCAGAAATATAAATACTGTTATTTTTAATATTAAAAAGAAATTCAGTATAACTTTTAACAAACACTGTGGAACATTAAACCGTATAAAAATGTAGTAACTATTTTTTAATTCCAAGGTGTTTTTTGCTTTTTTCTTTTAAATATTTTCTTAATATTTGTCAGATTAACTAGATGAATAAATAAACCTAGTATTAACCACAGTATGAATTAAATAATTGTGATTTAATAAAGGGATGATATGATTTCTGATGTTTACTGTAGCGTATCTTGTACAGATAACATGTATTTTTAAAGGAAAAAAACGGAATCGAAGCTATTTTTTCTTGCATTTTTTTCTTGACCTGAAGGACATTCCGTTTGAAATGTACTGAAGTTAGTTTCTGGTTTTTCCTCCTTATTTTCCTTACAATGCTTGAAATGTCTAACTATTAAAAAGGAATTGGAGAATGTTATGCATGTTGTTTTTAAAAGGTGTTCTTTTTATTTGACTGACAATTCATTTTCCACGCTATATAATAAAATCTCCACAAGACGTGGGTCCTGTGGACGCAGCATCTCTGCTCTGTGTCTCGCTGCATCGTCACTGCCGCCCGTGACCCTCAGCCTGGCCCTGTTGCTGTGTCCTGCGTTGGTCCAGTGCGGTGTGTGCTGCCCGGAAGGCGGGGGACCCTCAGCCCAGTTCCTTTGGGCTCTGTGCGGTGTGGAGCTCCGGCCCTCTCCCTGTCGCCTCTCAGCCTGTGACCCTGAGAAGTCGGGGGAGCTCCCTGGCCGGGGACCGCTCACCTGCAGCCTGAGTGTTTGCTGCAGACGGAGCAGCCGTGCCGCAGCTGTCCTGTCACCCAGTCGGCCCCCACCCCACCCCCCAGCCCCATCACCTGTGGCTCCCGGGCTCCCCAGGGCCTAGGAGAGCTGCTGGGTGCCTGCAGGTGTGTGCATTTTGTTCTGCTGTTTTCCTGAAGGGAACAAAGGGAGCGTCCTCCCCGCAGGGCCTGGGCTGCGGGGTGTGGAGGAGTTCAGGGCAGCCTTAGGCTCTTTCTGTTTCCCATCTTGGAGGTGACTGCTGGACTGCTTCGTGTTCAGTTGTCCACCGCAGCGCCCAAGCCTCAGTTTAGACCCAGGTCTCTCAGGCCCTGCTCGGAACTGTCCTCCAGCTCCTGCGTGTGTACACGCACACCCTGTCCCCATCCCATCTCCACTGCAGGCATTAGGAGGGAGAAGACGCATCTGTGGCTCCTTCAGCCCAAAAGGGGGTGGAGAGCAGCCCAGCTGGGCCACACTGCGGCCTGTTGAGAGCCGGAAGACAGAAAGGAGATGTGGCATCTTTAACTACACCTCTAGAGAATCGGGGTTGAGGAGGTTGACGTTGAGAGATTGAATAGTAAAAGCCCGGGAGGGGGCGAGGGAGGACGGTAATGGGGACTGGGAGAGGGCATTACAGAAGACTTCCTTCTAATTCATCTTCCGAGCTCCGTGCCAAAACAGCATTTGGCATGGTTCACAGGGAGCGATTGTGTGATAATGAACCCTAAGGTGTCCCTTAATTGAAGACTGAGCATTGCGGTTTGCGCCAGGAGTCGTAAATGGCGCAGGCTTGCGGGAGGATGCATTTTCTTAAATGTATCGGTAAGTACAGATTAGCGCTTGTCCCCAGTGAAATGCCCATACTATAAATTATGGAAATCTCTCTCCCTCTCTGATGCAATCTTTTATTGGGGGAGGGGGCTCGGGCCAGCAGGAGGCGGGGGAAAGTTTGCAAGCATGTGAAATTTGGCCTCCCATTAACATGGCGCCCGCCCGCCCAGGAAGCCGGGCCTGTCAGCCATCAGCAGTCTGCTGTCCTGGAGGCTAAAGTGCTTGAAACGTAGCAGGCCAGCGAGTGCCTTCCATTAAGGAAGCTGCGTGGTCATCATGAGGGCAGCCTGGGCCTGGGCTGTGGGGCGGTGCCCGGGCTGCCTGCCAGCAAGCGCCCAGGTGCTCCCGCCGAGCTGAGCTGCATCTGGGCCGGGGTTCTCCGGCTGATACTGTACCCCAGCCGCTCGTGGCTCCCCGGCGTCCCCCCACGATGGTGTCCACCCGTGATGTCCTCTGGCCCCACAGTGAGGTGTCGGGCACAGGTGGCACCTTGAAGTGTCCCATCCAGGAGGGCGCTGGGCGCCTGGGGCCCCAGCTTCTCGCCGGCTACAGCACCTCTTTCCCAGCCCCACTTCTGGCCCACTGGGGCCCAGCTGGAGTTTTGAAGACGGATAATGCAAGTGGTCCTCATAGACTCTTAGAAATTAATGGCTAGAAAGTGGCCTGACAATTCCGCGGGGGCTGCTGGCCTCGGGTGCGCATCTCATGCGGTGCGGAAGGGGACGAGAAGGTAGCCCTCATCAGGCTGGGGATAGCGGCCACCTTTGCTATGTTTTGTCCTGAGAGCCTTTCTCCAGCATCTACCAGGAAAGTTCCAGAGCTGCACCCCGGGAAGAGGGGACTGCTGTCACCTTTTACAGGTGAGGGCTCTCCAGCGACCGGCCCTGATGGACACAGCCATGGAGGGCAGGGTCTGGGCCAGCGCTCCTGGCTTCCAGGGTGACGGTGCCCACAGCTCCCTGCATGTTTCCTGTCCCCAAGGAAGGTAGTGATGGGATGGAGACACAGCCCCCTGAGTCAGCAGGCTGCACCCTGAAGCGTGTGGCAATCATCATTTTCAAGTCCTTGTTTGCAAATCCACCTAACAGGTGTGCATGACCCCAAGGTCAGCACTCAGACCCGCCCGCCCCTTCCCGCCGGCCCAGCCCAGCCCAATGAGGTGGAGCCTCTTACTTCAGCTCTCACGCTCTAAGCACCTGTTCACGTCAAGCTTGTGCCATGCTTCTCACGTCGCTTGCCTTTTATGGGGGATGTTGCTGTTTAACCCTGAGCGTAGTGACCCCGGGCACAAGAAGGCCGCGTGCACCTTGCAAAGAGACAAAGGTGCTGTGAACTCCATGCTGTGGGCCGCGAGTTTCATGTTAATGAATCAACTATAAATACAAGGGGTGCACATATATACACAGATCTCTGTATTACACGGTGGGGGGGGGCTTCAGACAAACACATGACTCGCACTGGGTGTGGACCGTGGGTGCTGGCTTCCCGAAGGGACCCACCGTGCTTCCTGCTGTGGTGAGGGCGTTAGGAGGCGGGACCTTTCAAGGTGACAGGTCATTGAGAGGGAGCAATGCCTTGCAGAGCCACTGGCCACTCAAACTCTCTCCTTTCTTCCCTCCCTCCCTCCCCCCTCCTTCCTTCCTTCTTTTCTTTCTTTCCTTTTTAGGTACTGAGGATTGAACCCAGGACCTTTTCACTAAGCTACATCGCCAGCCCTTGTTTTATTTTTTTTGAGACAGGATTTTGCCAAATCACTAAATTCCCCAGGCTAGATTCAAATTTGCAATCCTGCCTCAGCTTCCCAGAGTGCTGGGTGACGGGCACACATCACCACTCCCAGCTGACTCTTTCTAACTCATTCAGCCTCAGGCAATCTCACAGCAACAGCAAATGGATGGGGACATTCGCCTAGAAGCAGAGTTTCCATGTCTGCTGATTCCATGTCTGGGGAAACTACCCAACATCACCGCCTTAGGTAAGGAAGGAGAAGCTACCGTGTCGGGCTTCCCTTTGAGGAAAATGCTCTTCTCTCCTCCATAAGGGTTAGGGTTAGGGTTAGGGGAAGCCGGTTACCTAGGATTCCAGCCGAGTCCTGCCAGGGGCCACAGACAGCAAGCCAGGGCCTGGGCCTCAGCTGGACCTCGATGCCTGCTTGCTTCTGTGCCCAGCGTGGACAGAAATGGGCGAATGTGCAAGGGGCAGCTGGTGTGGTTCTGGGGGCCACATAGCTCAGCGCTCCTGGGCAGCAGAGCACTGGTACATGTTTGACAGTGTGGCTGGGAGGCCACCCCCACCAGCCCCCGTGTGACCTAAGGCCAGTTATTTACTACTCTGGGTTTCCTCAAGGTGAGGTGGAGGTCACAGCAGTTCCCTACTCATGGGGCTGAGGACCAGGTCAGTGGCTCACACAGAAAGCGCCTGGTACCTGGCTCCCAATGAGCATCCAGAAATGGCAGCTAAAATGGAGCATAGTGGCACACACTTGTCACCCCAGCCCTCAGGAGGCTGAGGCAGGAGGATCACCATGAGTTCAAGGCCAAGCTGAGTTGCATAGGGAAACCCCATCTCAAAAAACCCAAAACAGGGCCAGGAATTTAGCTCAGTGGTTTTGCCACCTGCTATGCAAGCGCAAAGACCCAAACCCAAAATATAAAGAAATCAAAAATGGCAGCTAGTAGCAATGACTAAGGCCAAGACCTCAGAGTGCTGTGGTGGCTTTTTCTGTCCTCCTCTGAGCACCCTGGGGGAAACTGATCTGAAAGCAGGATTGTCCTGGGCAACGAGAACACTGCGGCCCCAGGTGCCACTCAGTGACCCTTCAGCCATGGCAACGGAGCCCCTGGGACGGAATCTCCCATCTACCTCTGTGGGACATGTGGGTGACACCCATGTGGCCAGATCCTCCAGCCTCAGCTTCCCTGAGAAGTAGACGCAGATGTCACCACCAGCTATGCTGCCCTGGACAAAGCAAGGCCCAGAAATCCTCCAGCCTCCTGCACCGCCGGAGCAACGCAGTTAGGAGAAAGAAGACAAGCCTGGGACCGTGGTGCACACCTTAATTCCAATACTCTGGGAGGCTGAGGCAGGAGGATCGCAAGTCCCAGCCCAGCCTGGGCAACTTAGCAGGACCTTGTCTCAAAATAAAAAATAGAAAAGGGGCTGGGGATGTAGGTTAGTGGGTTCGATCCCAAGTATGGCCAAAAAAGAAGGAGGGAAGGACGGGAGGGAGGGAGGGAGGGGAGATTCACTCAAGGGATGAGGATGATGAATTGTAGGGCACAGGGCCTTGGCTTTTGTTCCCAGCTAGGACAGCAGACTGACCGAGTGACCTGAGCAGGTCGCACCCCATGAGCTCCGTTTCCCCGCCTTGGATGAGACCACACCAGCGGTTCTATCTACATTGTGTTGGGCTGGGTCAGGGCTTCTACGGTCACTTGATTCAAATTTTAAGAAGATAGTTATTAAATACATTTAAGCATTTTTAACTGGTTTTAAATCATGGCCTCCAGCTGGGGGTGTAGCGCAGCAGGCCCTGGGTTCCATCCCCACTGACAGCTGAAAACCACGCACTCAGCTACAGTGGAACCTTGCCTTACGAACTCAATCCGTTCCCGAGGGCTGGTTGTACCTCAAGTTGGTCAGTGAAGGCTCAGGCTCCTCACAGCCTTCAAAGTCTCTCTCCTGTACACAGGCAGATCCCTCACTTAGGATTTCCCACTTAGCCCCACACGGGAAAGGATGCTGTCATGTTCCTTCCAGACTCTTTAAGGGTTAGATCTGTCTGTGAGACCATCTGGAAGCACAAATGCCCAGCATTCAATCGTAACTCAAGACTTTGGTCTTAAGTTAAAACTAAAATTCTGGTCATAACCTAAGTTGTTCATATGTCAGGCCGGTCGTAACTCGAGGGTCCACTGTACCTTCCGTG